TCTTAGAAAGGTTTCGGTGACAAGATTGAAGGTTCCAACAGATACAAGTGAGAATAGGAGAGAGATAAGTTGTGCCTCTTGCCCTGGAGTGTGTGTCATCTAGTTGGCATGACAAGAATAAGTACAGCCTATAAATAATTACAAAGCTCCGCTTCATTAGCTGCAGGTTGTTTATGTATAAATTGACTGTCAAGGGTGGCTAAAGAGGAATTATCAGGGCTGGCCAGTGAGAGCGTATTGCTGGTAACACCAAGGTGAAGGGTTCAGATCTCCCTACCAGCCAGATTTCAAGAAAGACAAAAACAGAAACAGAAATTACTGAAGAAGAGTTCAGGGAAGGCTCGCTGGGCGGAAGGTGAGCCTAGGGACTGGCCCAGAGAGGGCGCAAAGGCAGAGCCTATGCTAAGGTGCTGATCCTTTGCTGTGCACTGGGGCTGGAACCTGGGCTTTGAATTGCGCAATAACCAGCGAGGCCCTTGTGGTTAGTGGGGAGAGTCAGGAACTCCAGGCTGAACCACCTGAATTTAAGGTAGAGACTGGCAGAATCCATTCATTCCTGTGTGAAATGCCCCTAACTGGAGTTTTCTCTCTAACTGCTTACCTGATATATCTACTTGGTTTTCTTGTTTCCTTTCCTTCCTTTCTTTCTTCCATTATTGTTTTCCTTCCTTCCTTTCTTCCTTTCTTCCTTCCTTCCTTCCTTCCTTCCTTCCTTCCTTCCTTCCTTCCTTCCTTCCTTCCTTCCTTCCTTCCTTCCTTTTTACGTTTTTTTCTTTCTCTCTTGTGAAAAATTTCCCCAATGCTTGGTGAAGAAGAGCGGCCACTCCTTCCCTCTGTCCCTCCTTTCCTTCCTTCCTTCTCCTTAACTTATAATTTGGTAATGTCTTCCTTTAATATATCATTTTGGAAGGATGCCATATTTCATGTCTTTAAGCAATGAGTGGTAGTTTCACCTCCCCTATATTATCGTTTAAATCTTTGCTTCTTTCCTGCCGTCATGCTTTGTTGTCAGAGTGAATCTTTCTGATCATCCTGGAGGGACTGTGCAGAGAAATCTTGCAGAACCGGTTTCATGGGTGTTGATTAACTGACAGAGAGGATGCTGTTGAACACAGACATCCTGTTCTTGATACCCCAATAATTTATTTGTATTAGCATGTCACTCTCTCCTGCTCCATTGTCTTAGTTCACTCAGGCTGGTATATAACAAAATGCCATAAAGTGAGTGGCCTACTAACAACAGACCAGTTCTGAAGGCCGGGAAGTCCAAAATCAAGGCACTGGCAGATTCCAGGTCTGATGAGGGCTTCTTCCTGGTTCATAGATGGTGCCTTCTCACTACATCCTCACATGATGGAAGGAACTGGGAGCTCTCCAGGGTCTCTTTAATAAGGGCACTAATTCCACTCCTGAAAGCACATCCTCATTACCTAATCACGTCCCCACCTTCTATTACTGTCATCACATTGGGGGTTAGGATTTCAGCAAATGAATTTGGGGGGACAGAAACATTCAGACTATAGCATCGGTTTTCTCATTTGAAAAACTGGGATAATGACATCTGTATAGCTACATGTGAGAATTTAGTAGGGTCTTAAAAAGATTCTTCACACATTAGAAAATGTTAAGACATGCTGCTCTTTAGAAAAAAAAGGATCACCATTATTGGAGATTTGGGGGCAGTTATTTTAGGAAGCATTCAAATGGTGATTGTCATTTACCCACTGTCTTTAAACCTTGAATGATCAGAATAATATATATGAAAAGATTTTAGGAACTCATAAGTTTTTTGTTTTTACTTGATGGTCCTCTATGAGCCTACCCTAAATACGAACACGAGAGAGCCTCTTTGTGTTTTCAGATTGCCGAGGGAATGGCGTACATAGAACGGAAGAACTACATTCATCGGGACCTGCGAGCTGCGAATGTTCTGGTCTCTGAGTCACTCATATGCAAAATTGCAGATTTTGGCCTTGCTAGAGTAATTGAGGATAATGAATACACAGCAAGGGAAGGTATGTTCTAGTAATGATCTTTAGGTGTTTTGTTATTATTTCATTTCATTTTGATTTTGTCTGTTTTTAACAAAGCAATCACCATAGTCATTATAAATATAAAAGTATTGGGTACAACGTTTAAGAAAAGTACTCTCTTGATTAACTCCACGTGATATGTTTATAAGATTTACAAACGCTATCATTGGTATTTCAGTTAAGCAAAGAAAAACAAAAATAGATTTGGCAAGATCAAGATTCTTTACCTTATATTGTTAAAGATTTCCACTCAAACTATGAAGTGTACTTTCCATAACTACAGAGAAAATATTTCTGACATTAATTCTGTGTTCTATATTCTGGCCTTTTAATTACAAATTAAAACATGGACATTATCACACACAGAGAACTAAATATAATACTACAAAAAGACACTCTTTTGTTTTCCCACATTCTGTATTATATGTGTAAACCAAATACACGCAGAGAGGCGTAAACCTCCCAGTCCCTGGACACTCCCTGGATGCTGAGCACAGTGGGGGCTGTGCTGGCCTCTCCTCCAGTAGGGTCATCCTAGGATCACATGTGGTGCTTGTGGCCTGAGGATCCTGATGGGCTCCCCAGTGAGAGTTGAGTGAATACTTTTGCAGTACTCGCTCTCTTCTGAAAGAGCCAAGCAGTTTCTTGACATTCCTAAGCATTGTTAAATCAGAATTATTTTTCTTTTAACTATATGGATGTTGTTTCCGGAAGATGTCTGCACAACTTATAGAGATGACAGACTGAAAACACTGCTTCGATTTGTTGAATGTCTCTTGCATCCATTGTGTCTTGATGGTTCCCCTCCTGCCTCAAGCCTGTGGAGGGATAACTTATCCTTGGCCTTAATGACCATCCTCAGCAAAAAGGCAGGCATCAGAATAGTTTGAAGAAAAGGAGTTAAAAAAAATAATAGCTAAATGCACTGAGCATTTACAGTATGTAAATGGGCTTTTCATACATTATCTCATTTATCTTTACAATAACCCTATATGATAAGCATTATTATTATTATTATTATTATTATTATTATTATTATTATTATTATTCCCACCTTATGGATAAGGAAACTGGTGCTGGCCAGTTACCTCAGTAAGTTAGAGCACAGCCTTATAACACCAAAGTCACAGTTCAGATCTTGATACCAAAAACAAAAACAAAACAAAACAAAGCATACATAGGTAAGGAAACTGAGATTCTGCAGCTTTCCAAGGTTCCACAGTAAGTGGTAGAGCCAGGATTCAATCCCAGGAGATGTAGCCTCTAAGTGTCTGGAATTGATTCCACTGGTTTTGTTGCATTTGACAAGCCTAAAGTCTCATAAGAATAACCCATCTCATTCAAGAAAGCGTGGCTTAGTGCAGACCGCGCATTCCAGATGGAACAGCGCGCCACCTCCTGGCGTGTCTCAGGACGACAATAACGATACTCCCTTTCATTGGCATTTACATGTGCCCGGCACACGGACCAACCCACTTAACCCTCACTGCAACCTGGGACGTTCGACTGTTTTCCCATTTTACATATGGAAGTTCCCAAACCTCACAAAATGACTTGCCAGGATCACACTCAGCAGGAAAGAGCAGAGCCGGGATTCAAACTCGGGCTGCGTGGTACTGGAGCCAAACTCCCAACCTCTGCAGGCAGGGCCCCCCCCCCACCCCCCCCCGGCGCTGCTGCTCAGGTGGGCGGGGGCTCCTGTAGGAATGGGCGACAGTGCCCAGCACACGACAGCTGCTCCCGCGAGGCTCTCTAGTGTCCTCGTTGTTTTTACTCAGATTTCCAATTTTAATCAGGCATCACAAAAAATTCTCAAGCAAAGACTAATAAAGGCACATACTTTTTAAAAAAAAAAAGTGGTTAGTGAACAACCCTAGCCATTCCAGGGTGCCAGAGTAGCAGTCTGTGCTGCGTCCCTGCCTTTCTCAAGGGGACCCTGCAGGTTTCCCCTGGGCCAAGTCTGCTTGTTCCTGGTCCCTTAGCTTCACCAGCTGCTCTTGAGAAATGTAGCTTCATCATTATCTCATTCTAGGCAGATCAGCATACTTCCCAATCCTAAAAGTTTAGTAAGGATTTGTCCTATCACTTGAAAGAATGGGACATTAAAGTTTGGAGTAGTATCTGAAATACTTGTTGCACAAAAATATACACGTTAAAAGATATTTATATTCCATGTAAACTTACTATGGGTTGATTAGAGAAAATTTGAACACTAAAGATGTAGTGGCTAGTGTTGAGGCATGAATGCATATGCTAAGAATAAATTTCTTTACATTCTGTATCACACTCTTTTATGTTTAAAGTTGGCTAGTTATAATATCCTTGGGATATTTTACAAAAGAAACTGCTTTCTAAAGATGGGAACACTCAAAAGGGAAACAGAGGAGTGAAGCAAAAAATTTTAGTGTAATACTTTGTGTCTCTGTTTTGTACTATGTGTGTTACCTACTCAAAATAAATAACTTAAATTTTTAAGAAACTCAAAAATCAAAAGAGAAAAGTGTGAGAATCATGTGCCCATTACTGTTTTGTTTAAACAAAGATGCCCAAGTAAGAATCACGTGTCTTTCTCCTTAGGTGCTAAGTTTCCCATTAAGTGGACAGCTCCGGAAGCAATCAACTTCGGATGCTTCACTATTAAGTCTGATGTATGGTCTTTTGGAATTCTCCTGTATGAAATTGTCACCTATGGGAAAATTCCCTACCCAGGTATCATTTACCTAACCTATTTCTATTCAAGTGGTACATATGAGAAAAAAGTCAAGTTGCATGAGGGCATAAAAACAAAACAACAACAAAAAAAACCCCAACCTCATCTACCCAAAGCAAAGAATAAGTGTTTTGTAGCAGAACTTGATTTTCACTGTCTTTAGTGGAACTTGTTCTGAAATGTGCTTAGACCATTCTCTGCCTTCTTAGTTTATTGAGTGTATATTCTTTTTCTTCGTTCATTAATTCTACCGCTTAATGGCTAGGATGTGTCTGATACCATCGTAGGCGTTGAGAGGAGGATGAATTACACACCAGTGCCCCTCCAAGACAGTACCTGATGGAGGAGGAAACAGACATAGAAACGAGATTTCCAATGCTTTTTGGCTAGTCTTTCCTTCTGCACTTTCCCCTGCCTCTGCTGGGCCTGCTGTTCCCGAGCATGGATGGAGCTTCTCCATTCAGTTTCTCCAGCATTAACCTGGGCACTGCCAGGCAGGCTCTGGGT